AATTCAGTGATGATTTGTGTGATTTACCCAATATATTTTTAGAAAAAAAATGTTTATAGAAAATAGGGTGAACTAAAAATTTGGTAACTAAACTTTACTCTCTCCCCTATTTTACTTGTTGCACTTTAAATCTTTATAATTTTCTTACTAAACTTAATACATTGGAGTTTTTTGGTCGCTCAGTCGTTTTCTCACTAACCGTGTTATAAATGAGTTTTTATACAGATGCAAAACGACTTCTTTTTGGTGAAAATTTTATTTTTTTTGAAAATTGTATCGTTTTAACATCATTAGCTATTTAATGGCGAAGTAACAAAAAACTCAATGTATTAAGTTTAGTAAAAAATTAATTTTTTTAAAGTTTAGTAAGCAAAATAGGATAGAGTAAAGTTTAGAGATGAAAATTGTAATTTACCCTAGAAAATATATTTCAACAATGGGTTAAGAATTTGAATTCATTATAAAGTTGTTCTATACTAAATTATAGTTTTAATTATTTTATTTAAACATAATTTAAATACATATTTAATATTTGAATTAGATAATTTGTTCAAGTTGGTATCTAAAGAATATTTTATTTATTGTTTTCATGTTGATTGATATTCGAAGTAATCACGTTATGTGAAATTGATACTTAAAAATATTATTCTGAAATTGGGATCAAATATTTAATTTCATCAATTGTTTCGACGCATCAATATTAATTTTTGATGACATGATAACGTAAAATTGTATTATTGTCGATGGTTATCTTTATGTGTGTGTGTTTTTAAAAAGTTATCGAAGTTCATTAAAAAAAATTAAAACAAATGATAGAATTAAAGTTTAGGTATTAATTTAAGAGTAAAAATTCTTTAGACGTAGGGATGGTCAAAATATTTGAACTAGACGGGTTTAAATCTTTTCCAATCCGATAGGGGTGATTTTTTTAAAAAAAAATTCTGGTTCAGGACGGGACGGGACGGGTTATACAATATAAAATATTGAGGTAGGTTGGGTCTGGGTTTAAGGTGAAAAATCACCAAGCCGACCCGATCGGATTAATTTTTATTTTTTATATATATTATATTTAATATTTTAATAATTTTATTTTTATATTATTAAAATATATTATTTCATTATTAAAAATATAAAAATTATTATAAAATATATTAATTTAATTGTTTAAAATATAATTATAAATTTATTATTATAAATTATCTTATTTTAATTATTTTAAAATATTAATATATTCGGGTCGGGATCGAGGTCGGAGTTTTATTCTAAAAATAAAAAATCTAAAATTCATAGGGACGGGTTAGAATCGGATTTTAAATATATATTTTTGGGCGGCTAAAAACACGCCCCGTCCCCATCCCTATTTAGATGCTAACTTGAAAGAAGATATGTAATATAATTATCAACTTGGAGAAAAATTCCTTAAATATCAAATTGAGAAAATATGTATAGTTGAAATAATAAATGACATTACTTTATTAAGTTCTCGATTATTAATAGTTATAAAATGATCTTAGATTATAAGATATTGTTTTATTGAGTCTTTGACTATTAAAAGTTACAAAATGATCATTGACTATTCATATGTTTCAAGCATATCATTTCTCGTCAAAAAATTGTTGACTAAAATATGATATCATAAAATCGTTTAAGGTGTATTTTGTTAATCGACTCTGTTTATATTATACCATTGAGTCAAAGTTTGAAATCATTGGCAGTGCCAGTAAACATTATTAAAATATGATTTTATCATATTTATATTAACAGGTTAACGTCTAGCTCAGACAATCATCAATTTTTAATAAAAATATGAGTTTGGGACATATGAACAATCATAATATGACTATTTTGTAACTTTTAATAGTAGGGAGACTCAACAAAATAACACTCTATAATCAAAAGACTATTTTGTAACTTTTAATAGTCAACGTATCATTTGTATAGTTTACTCAAAAGATAAATATATCACATGCTTTAAATTTTGGGCAAACATCGGGGTGAATTATCCATCACAACAGATGATGATTCAAGGAAGCATATGGAATGGAGAAGATTGGGCATCGGGTGGAAGGAATATCGACTGAACTAAAGCACCATTTGTTGCAAGCTATCGAGGCTTTGAAGTGACTGAGTGAGAAGCATAAAAATAATTGACCGACGAAGCATGTTATATACATTCAACAATGGAATGAGCGGAATTTATATGTCCCTTGCGTTTCGAAATTACGACTGCTGACCTTGATTTCGACATTTCTCTCTACCTCTAAAATTATGAAACAATGAGAACAAATAAAGGCCAAGAAAGCATAATCATCAATATCTTCATCTTCTTCTTCTGCCATGTATCTTGCATCTCAAACAAGTTATGATTTTATCCTCCATATTTAATGGAGAGTCAGCCGAATTGGGTTGGATGTTAATGGGATGTTATGCAAAGCACTCAAGCATATTCGATAGAACATGCGGGTGAGGGTGAATGAGATCATATTATATATAGTCAACAAAGAGATTTCGGTGGCCAAGTCGAGTCAATGGAGACAATGATGACATTAAATACCTTAAGTACTCCATCACCATATTTTGAAAGTGGATCTTAGTGATGTTAGTACGCCTCCTGTTGAAGAAGCAAACAAAGATGATCAAGACGGAAAGCCACAATGTACTCGATGAGCCCCACGTCATTATTATTCGATCACTCATCGGCATCGTCAAGAATTACGAAAATGTATATAAATTTTATTATGCATTGTATTAGATTGTATGAACTTTTAATATTATTTTGTATTAAAATTATTTTGTATGTATTAAATTATTTTTTAAAATTAAATTCGGTGAAACTCGTCACATCGAGGTGCCGAGTTTTAATGATTAAATTTAAAATTCACAAGTTGCTCATTGCTCAACGACTAATTTATTTTTAAATTCCAGGATAACTAGTTACCTCGACGTGATGAGTTCATTTACTTTTTTTTTAAATATTTACTGAATTTAAAAATATAATAAAATTAATTCTCACGAGACTTATCAAGTCGAGGTGATGTGTCTCTAAAAATATATTATAATATTAGACCGCATGGGGCCATTGACTAGAGACCATTAAAAAATATTTTTTGATTAAATTTATCACGTGAACATGACGAGTTTGTACTGCACTATAATATTTTACGTAGATTACAAAATAAATTTGAGAGTGACCTATTGGGCCAATTAATGTAGCGCCTAGCCTAATGGGCCGAAAAACCCCGGGATTTCATCCTTATCAACATGTGAAGATAAATCGATAGGTTTTGCACGTATTAATTATATGGACAGAAAGTATCTGATTAGAAATATTCTAACTATCCACTGTTAGCACGAATCAAGTGCTTCTGATGATAAACTAATTCTTGTTATTCATTGAGGTCTCAGATTTAAACATCAGAAATGTCAAGAGTGTAAGCATTCAATGTCAGATGATTAAGAGTTATCATTTAACAATACTTACCCCAAATTAATAAAAAAATAACTATCCACTATTATCCCAAAATAAAAGATAATTATATGTTTAAATTTATAATATACAATTGTGCAGTTAAATTAAAGTTAAATTAATATTTATCGACATGAATCAAACTACTAAAATGATTAAAGGGATAATTATTATCTCTAAAAAATTTGAGTTTGAGCATATCATATATCATAGGTGTTTGAGCGTTTATTGTTAAATAAATTAGAAATTTTAAAAAGATATTACCTTACAATTACTTCTAGACAAACAAATCAATATTTATCAGAGTATAAAGTATATCTAAAAATATTTATATACATCACATTTTCTATCCTCATCATGTATGATTCGTACATAATTTAAGTGATTATGTACTTTTATCGTGTTATAAGTATAATATAAATTTTTTTTATTAATTTGTAATAAATATTATAGAATATTTGTTTAAATATAATTTTCAACTATTTAATTTAATATGAAGCTCTCATACTCATAACATTCATGGTATTTGAATCTGAAAGTTCAAGTATAATATAAATTGTTAAATATATATAAAAATATATATTACAATTATTGAATATATTATTTTAATAACTTTTATATATCTGCTACTTTTATGTATTAATAAGGCAAGAGAACAAAGATTAGAACTTTGAACAAAAAGGGTGTCAATAACACTTAACATTTTTACTTAAATCATTACATAAAAAATCAATCAATTATTAATTGAATCATCAATGAGTCAATTTTTATTATTTTATTATCACATTTATGAAAAACTAAATCGGAAATAGTTGTATTTTCTCTATATCCATTAATTAATATTAGTCATGAATATAAATTAGTTAATTAATTTTGAATTTTATCAATAAATATAAAAAAATTAAAATTGAATAAAACGGTATTTATGAATGATAATGAAAATAACCTTTTATAATAATTAACATGAAAGGAGCGTGATCATACTCGGACGCGTAAAGTTATTTTAACAACAAAGGTGATTTATTTGACAAATAAAAGATAATTAAATCGAATTAATCAATTATCAATTTGTCCAATAAGACGATGTATTAAATCTTTTAAGTTAAATTTGACTTGTGAATAGAGTAATCTAAATTGTGAGGATTGTCTCATAATAAATCTATATAATATCCGGTATGAATTAATCAACTAATGAGTCAAATATGATCATATAAATAAAATATTTTATCTTATCCTTATAAATAAAATTTAAAGAATAGCGTCAACAAGAAACTTTTTCTTTTATTACTTTCTTGTAAATCTCTATAAATACATTCCATTCGTTCTTGTTGTAATGGTAAAATATTGTAAGTGTTCCAATCATTCACAAAAGAAGCTTCTTCAAAGAAAATAGCTATGGAAAAGAGGTAACTTTTGTATTTTATGTTTTACAAATTCGTAATCATCTTTTATATATATATATATATATATATATATATAGTTTACGTTTCTTGTCACACAATATATAATTTTGTAGCAATAATATTATATGTTGATGGTTTTGGACAGGTTGATTGTTATTATAGTTGTTGCAGTTATAGCATGTGGAAGCATAGCCGTTAATGTTAGTTTCGACAAGAATTATCACATCACATGGGGAAACTCTCATGTGAAATCTATAAATCAGGGAAATCAAATCGATCTATTAATGGATCAATCTTCAGGTTAGTTAAATCATAGTAATAATTTAGTTGAATACTTACATGCAAGCATATTTATATATATTAAACACGATATATGAATAAAATTGTATATAATGTGTGTTTTGTTTTTCCGACATGACATAGGGGCTGGGTTTGAATCGAACGTGGGATATGGTTCGGGTTTTTTCCAGATAAAAGTGAAGCTACCTCAGAAGGATTTTTCTGGAGTTGTTGTGGCCTTTTATGTATGTTATCTATATCTCTCTAACATGTATTAAAAATTAGTGTTATGCTATGAAAATTTTGATGAGTTATTGCATGCATGCAGTTGACATCGGATATAAATGGCAAAGGAGGAAACCATGACGAGCTGGATTTCGAGTTTTTAGGTAGCGACGGGCCACCTTTTACGCTGCAGACAAACGTTTTCGCCGATGATGCGGGAGGCAGGGAGCAAAGATTTCATCTCTGGTTTGATCCCACTTCTGATTTCCATACCTATGGAATTCTTTGGAACCAACACCAAATAGTGTAAGTAAAACAAAGTTGTTTATGAATCCGTTCGAATAAATCTCGAATACTAAAAATCTAATTTTTTATTTTTAGGTTTTACGTGGACAATACGCCCATAAGGGTATTCAAGAACAACACAAACATCGGGGTGAATTATCCATCACAACAGATGGTGATTCAAGGAAGCATATGGAATGGAGAAGATTGGGCATCGGGTGGAAGGAAAATCGACTGGACTAAAGCACCGTTTGTTGCAAGCTATCAAGGCTTTGAAGTGACTGCGTGCCAATTCAAGAGCGCTCCTAACAAAGATGAGTGCTACATTTCGAACCCCACGCAGTGGTGGAATGGGGATAAATACATCCAACTTGACCCAGCTCAGCACAAAGCTTTACAAGATGCAAGAACCAAATACATGTTCCAAGACTATTGTACTTCTAAAGCTAAGATTGATAAAGAATGTGGTATTAATAGCACTACATAGTATGATAGGTGTGGGTATCCGAATGTACACATATAAATAAGAAGCAAGGGGTACAAATAGTATTCTGAATTAGATTGTTTTATATACAAGATATAGCTAATGGTTTATACATATATGGCATTCCTGTCTTCCTTTGTTTATAATGGTATATTTTCATATTCTTCAATAAAACGAAGATATTGCTATTGTCATATTAATTTTGTAAACTCTTCCTTATAGATTACCCATAAATTCCTGCAATGCTGAATTGCTTTCGGATCGGTTAATGAAGATAACATAAAACAAGAAGAAGTCGGTGAAAAACTCCTCCCGAAGGCATTGCCTGATCAAAAAGTGTTGGCTCATTTCCATTTTCAAAGCTCTCTCCCTCTTTCACCACCATTGTTTCCCAAAGTCATTTCTTTGTTGGTACCGTTTGTTATTAAAATTTAATTTTCTTCTTCTTTTGGATCACTATGAAATCTTATTGATCATCTTTTTCATGTTTCGTTTTGTTTACATGAAGTTATAGCAAAGTGCTTTTCTATAGTGTGAATCAATTGGTTTGGGAAATCTAAGAATTCATGCATTTATTAGCAAATTATTGAACTTCTCTTGTATTTCTATTGATAGTTGATACTTGAAATATGCATTAGCAAGATATTGAGCTATTATATGTTGTATAGAGCGGGGAAGAACTGAAGCGGACAGGTAGGAGATAATTGTCATTTGAAATTTTCAAATTACATATATTTTAGATTTTTTATATTTTTATTAATAATCAGTTTTCCTCCATAAAATTTTAGAGGTGTACCCTTTCTAAAAATTTTATAAATTCATCCTAATATAAAATCTTATATTCATGATAAAGTGGACATTTCGTTCGCTTGGTTTGGATCTATTAAGATAATTATTTTGAGTTGTCTTTTTTAAATTATTAGCAAATGCTCTTTAAAATATCATTCAACTTATCTCTTCTTAGTCTTCTATTTTCATGCTTCAGTTATGATTTATACATTTATTAAAATATATGAGAGTGAAATATTTTTGTGAAATATCCAACCTTTTTTTCAATGATGTTATGTCTTACATTCACTTGAAAATTATTATTTACTAATTGTATACGTGATGCAATCATTTGTATCTCAATTTCTTCAAGGAAAAGATAATAATTTTGAGAAATAGTAGATGTTAAGAAATTAACAATTAAGATAAGTAGTTTTTTTTGTGTGTGTTGACACTGATTTTCGTCCTCAACTCAGATAACACTCACCATGATCCCACGAAAATCTCAACGCCTTTAATCCACCGAACCCACTAAACTCATTAATCCTGGAAAATTCGGGATTCAAGTTACTAAACCCACATGCATGCAATTATATATTCGGGGAAGGGGAAGAGGAAAATGGAGAGCGACAGCTAGGGGGAACTCACCTTCGATTATGTAGTGGCGGCCTGCTTTTCGTTCAACGCCGAATGGCCTTCTCTCGACCTGTTGTCTAAGCATTAATTGAAGTCTCTTATTATCGCATAAGAGTGATGGAATTTGAAAAAAAAAAGAGACGAAGATCCAATGGGGAGGTCGATAAGGAAATACAGACAATCTCGCGCCAAGGTCAAAGTGGGTCACCTGAGGAAGAGCCCTCACGTCTTTAAGCCATACTTCAACCTTCCTCCGAAGCTTCGCGCCCCGGCCGTCCGACGAACCGGCTGATGAATTCGATCCTGTTGATTTCGGAAGCGATCTCGAAGAAGATGACTTAAAAACTGCACTAGGGAAGAAGTAGATGAGAGAGAAGGAAGGGAGAAATAACAAAACAAAAGGGGACACATGTTTTAATAGCTTGATTAGGCCTGTAAACGAACCGAACGCACACGAACGGATGTATGTTCATGTTCGTTCATTTAATAAATAAGCGAACATAAACGAACACGAACATAAACGAACAAAATTTTTTTTGTTCATGTTCGTTCATTAAGGAATATAGATTGTTCATGTTCGTTCATTTAATAAATAAACGAACATAAACGAACACAAACATAAACGAACACGAACATAAATGAACACGAACATAAACGAACATAAACGTTGGAGACCCTACCTTCCATTGTTCTTTCATGAAAAATAGTCGACAATGCAAATCAACCAAATCTACAGTGATAATAGCGTAAGAGCTGATTAGCAGTGATGAAATGTTTGAAGATATCAGATATTTCGATCAATCTTTTAAAGATATTAAATGATTCACACAACTTTAGAGTTAATTTGTTCGAACACGACAAAAACATACATAAATCATAAGTAAGCTATATGAATATAATAAAGTCTTAAAGTTAATTTGTTCAACAAAACAATCTTCTTGAAATCCAAACAACTTCAATAATATTCATAACATATTCAACTTGCATTCATAATCAGTCGTTAATTCATCATTCATCCTGATCAAAATCAAACAAATAAAATTATATTAAATTAAAGGAGTTATAACAAAAGATGAAAAATATACTAAATTAGCGAGGTTATACCAATTCATTCATCCTTATTTTCAATGAATCTCAACATGTATGATATCTTCGTTTTGCTACAACAAATCAAAAAACCAAAAATATATTAGTCATTGTAAAACCAAATTCAATAAAACTTAAAACATAAAAATACCTTGTTTTTATTTTTTTTCTAACACATAGTATTGACGATACCAATCAGCTCCACAAACAAGCATATCTACCATCTTAGTTCCTAAAGATGATCGATGCGGATCAATAACCCTCCCACCAGCACTGAAAGCAGATTCAGAAGCAACAGTAGTGACCGGAATTGCCAATATGTCAGCAACCATTTTTGACAAAATGTTAAATTTAATATTGTTCTCCTTCCACCATCCCAGTACACAGTCTTCATCTTTCCCAAGCCCCGAACCTTCCTACCATGCGAGTCCCTCATCTTCCTTATGCCCGAGTCTGACTCGTTTCAATTCAAATACCTCGACTCACCTCCTTCCATTCCTCCGCAACATTGTAGCCATATCCAGCAGCGCTCCACTGACCACGCCACTTTTTTCCCCCACTAGGGGATATAAGCGCAAATCTGACTGGGACTCCCTAAGGGCAACTCTAACGCGGATGACTGGGCAACGAGGGGTGGGCTGGAGAAGACTGACTGGTCGAATGCACCGTTCATAGCGGCGTACAAGGGGTTCCACATCGTTCAAGATGCCACAAAAAATCCCTAAATTCATACCCCAAAATTAACAGACCAAAAAAAATTCAAATTATTTACCTTATGAAATCACGTTCAAGAAGGGAAAGAGATGAAGCTCTGTCGAATCGTTGCAGTTGAAGACTTGAAGCTCCGTCGAATCGTTGCAGAAATGAAAATTGTGGAGGGTGGGGAGAGTTGAGAATCAAGAACAGCTGAATGACGGGTTGGAGAAGAGTTGAGAAAATATTGTTTTTAGATTTAGGGTTTTTTGTATTACCGCTTAATCAGGCTGTAAAATTGGGTTAATTATGAAGTTGGTCATCAAAATATCATATTAATTAATATTTTTAAGATACATACAAATTGGTCACCAAAATTGATTTAAGAATATTAGGTTAAACATAAATGAACGCACATAAACGAACATAACTAAACGCATATAAACAAACATAACCGAACGTTCACGGACGTAAATGAACGAACGAGACATATGTTCATGTTCGTTCATTTAATTAAACGAACACAAAATATTGTTCATGTTCGTTCATTTAATAAATAAACGCACATAAACGAACTTCCCGCCGCACGGTTCATGAACGGTTCGCTGAACGTTCAGTTCATTTACAGGCCTAAGCTTGATTCATTTTGTTTTGGGTAGCCCACGTGACAAAGGACTTTGAGTAAACTCTCCCTATGGTCCTTCAATTATTATGGGTAAATTTCTCCATAACCCTTCAAATATTATGGTTAAATTCTTCTTCTGGTCCCCCTATCTTTCATGCACCATGTAACATAGTCCATTTCTTTGTAATTTAATTTTGATTATTGTCAATCTAGCCCTTATTTTATTTTCATTTGATTTAATATTTTTATTTAATTATTATTCTATTTTCACTAACATTTTTTATCTTTTCGCAGGTTTCTTTTTTTATTTCGTTTATTTTATTACTTTTAAAATTTTAAATTTTAAAATTTTATTTTATTTCCATTTGATTTTATTTAATATTTATCATTATTTCTTATCTAACATTTTTCACTTTTTAGGAGAATTTTTTAATCGATAAAAGGTAAGTAATTTGAATCGAGTTTTAAATTTTAATTTTCGCGATTAAGATAACCGAGAAATTAAAATGGTACCGAAAGGGCAGTTCAAGGGTGTTAATCATTCCTTGACTGTAACCGAATCTCAAGCCTGACATATTTATGGTAAAACGCATATCATGTAACATGGTGTCGACTCTAACACATTTTTAAGTCGAAGCCTAATTCCGGTCCCACCCAAAAGATAGTCGCGTCAGTTTGGCGACTCTACTGGGGACAGGTTAGTGAGTCAGGCCGAAATTAATTTTCGGTTGTCTTTTTGAGCGAAAATTATAAGTTTAAATTTTAATTTATTTATTTGATTCTTATTATTTATCGTTGATTATTTTTCAAGTAAATAGTTGTACTGACGTTTTTTCAATGATTTAAGATTTTTGAAAAAGTTTCCATCTAAGGCTCTATACCCGAGCTCCAAACCCGTTTTTTTAAGTGGGGGTGAAAGCGATGCTTTCGTGAGAATTTATTCTCCGTATGAGCCTAGCAAATAACCTTCAAGATTCATATATCTTATGTCTTCGTGTGAATTTATTCTCCGTATGGGTATAAAGGAATGTATCCTCTCGAGTTCAACTTAGTCCACACAAGCTTGTAATGGGCTTAGGACTAAGGGTTTGGCAAGCCCAAGGGGGCACTAGCAAGGAGAACTCGGGTACCTTTCTTTAGAACCTAAACCTGGAAGCTATAGGGAATTAGAGCCCACCCCGAACCTCATTTCAAA